GGGTTATCCGTAAGTCCCCACATTCCTACGGTTGTTTGTATGGGTTTCCTGTTTCAGGCAGGGGGGAAAAGGAAGATGTCTGCCCAGGCGAGGCTGAGGCTGCTGCCCAGCGCCAGGTGTTTGTTGGACGAGCCCGTTCAGGTGAAGGTGGCCGGACTGAAGGCCAGGCAGGTGGTCACCCTGAGAGCCAGCTCCACCGACGAGAAGGGCGTGGTGTTCAGCAATTGTGATGAATATTGTACATTTCTGTGTAGCTGTATATGGCTGAGCAAACATTTGTGTACAGGGTCCAGATGACAGAAACTATTAATTAAATGACATAAAAGCGGGTCAATTGGTCACGTTGCACATTGTCTGTACACCATATTGCTATATGACTGTAAAATCTTTATACGGAGGGTTTTATGACATGTTTCAGAGGACTGCTTTATTGGTCTGACATGTTGATGGCAGCTGCTGAAAGAAACATTTAGTGTCCCTGTGCATATTCCGCACTCCACAAACCAGCCCCTGGCCCCTGTGACGTCAGATCCATGCTGTAAATGTGGCTTATTATTAAAAATAATAATAATGATAATAAGGATTGTATTCACAAACAGTTGAATAAACCACAGCTCTAAAGTTTACACTGAAATTTGTTCGTTACAAATTTCTAAAGCCCTAACTTTTGAAACTTTTACAGAGAAAATATACTAGACATTTATTTATGTAATTGAACTTTTTAAAAAGTTCCTATGATATGATTGATCCTTTAAACCTAGGTTTTATTTCTGTCTTCGAATAGACTTCCCTAAATCCAAGGATTCTTAAGTTGCCTGTCTGTAAAGCAGATTCAACTTCAATCTGTGGATCTTCATCACAGCAGATGTTTTTGTGGCATTACACACTGATTGAAAATCGTGGAAAGTTGTTCGACTACAAACATAAACGTTTCAACCGTCGGACCATTTAGCCCGTAACACTGACCGGAAGTTAAAAAAGGCGTGGACTACACGATGACTCTTAGCTAAGCGTGTGCGGGTGGCTGGCAGTGTTTCTCTGTGTGGGCTGAATATTTGCTTCCAAAATGTCTTCGCTTCGGCATATGAGAGACTTTATCTGCCAGCGTCTAACTGCGGCTGCTGAAGAAATATTCACAGAGTTTGAAAAAA